AAATTAATTTCAATTATAATACATTTTGCGAGATATCTGAGATTTTTTCAGATATACCGCGGTATTGCGGTCTGCAAAGTATTGTCAGCGCCACAATAACAACCATTTTGACCGCACGACAATGAAAACTATAGTGAAAAAATACATTTTGTTAGTGACATTTTGCATAGTGAATCCTAGGGGAATATCACGCTCCTGAATCTTGTGAGATATTTGAGATATTTGAAATAAACATCAATTGTATGACATATTCTCGAATATTTCGAATAAATAAATCAGATTTCTGTGGATTTTGGAGATATTTGAGATTTTTTGCATTAAATCCGAATAAATACATTTAAATATCATTCATAATCACAAAAATCCACAATGTTCCGCCGTATTCACAAATATCCACCATATTTCATACGACAGATTCTTAGAGATAAATTGGATTTTTTTTAAATATTGGAAATAATTAAAGCGTGATATTCCCCTAGAGTGAATCGTAAGTTTATCATTTGAAGTTCTGTGTATTTTTCAATACAATATTCAAAATTTCCATAACTATCCATAGATATTTAGTTTTGAAAATTTGACAGTTCGGGCGTGCTTACTAGACGCCATTTTGAATTTTGATATTGAACATATCTTCACAAATCTGCAAAAATTCACATTTATCTTCAAAATTCATACAATTGCGCAAGAAACCGATAGTTTGGAGCTGGAAATTCGCCATATCTGAAATACTCTGCATATGTCAAAGTGTTCAGCAGAATCTCACATGGTGAATATGAGTAAATAATACAGATTTTGCGAAATATTTGAAATAACATAGATTTTATTGGATTTGTATGAAATAAATGAGATAAAAATAAGTTTTGTGAATAAACATTTCGTGATATTCCCCTAGTGTAAAATTACATGAAATGACATAAACCATTCTAAATCAATCATCCGTCGAATATCATTAAATAATGCCTTAAAAAAGAGACACGTTAGAAAATTGTGTTTTTGTTCGCTATCGAAAGATGTTTGCAGAATCGTGAGATTTTTCTGACGAAGACACAGCGAGCAATGAGGTGTGCAGCAATGCTGGGCGAATAATATTTGGAAATCAATTACAATGAACGATTTTTATTTTGAAAATTGGGGACAATGTCATGCTTTTAAACCGAAAAATTATCATAAAATCATACAAGCTCGATTAGAATGCGGAGTTGATTTTGCCAATCAAAAACATTTTCAAACCACTTTTGTTTCATTAGCCAAGAGAATTGCTGCGAAAAGAAAGCTCTGAAATAAATGTCAACATTTTTCAATTTTTTAATTTTTATCGGTTTTTATTATTTATTTCGGTTTTATTTCATTGGAAAATGGAGTCCAAATCTACTAGTAAAGTGGTACTGATGAATTGTTTGCAATGAAAAAACTCAACATGTTATTTCCAAAATGATTCGAAACTCTGGAACTGAACGTTAAATGAGTTCTGAGTTTAAATGAATTAATTGTTTAAATATTGAAAAATCACTTATTGTTTCAAACTTGGCTACATTTAACAAATCTCTAGAATTTGTCACTTATTTCTTCGTCAAACGGTGAACTGCCTTCATATGTTGATTGGCACCACTTTTACGAGCAAAGCTTGCTGCACACACTTTGCATTGAATCCGCTCTCCGGTGTGATCTTTTTGCATGTGAATCTTCAACATTTGTTTAGATCGACGATGCTCTTTGCACAAATGGCATTGATACTGACGGTAGCCACAGCTGTCTTCATGAGCTTCTTTTGCATCTTCCGTTGCGTATCCTCCGAGGCACTTGGAGCATTGGAATGGGAATTGATCGCTGTGTGTGGATGACAAATGTTGATTTAAATGAATCTGTTTGACGAATTGTTTGCTGCAAATTCCACATTTGATCGATCGTTTTGCTCCGTATTTTGATTGCAAGTGTGTCTTATAATTACTCTTGTGAACAGTTTGGTAATGACATTGATTACATGCAAAACGACTTCGTTGGCAGTGCGTTTCATGTGATTGCTTATCGTCTGGAGTGGCAAATCGTCGACCACATTTCACACAAGCATTCGGCAGTTCATCCTTGTGCGCCATGGAATGTCTTTGAAGATTAGCGTTTGTTATGAATGATTTGAAACAAACTGAGCACACGAACGGCTTTGCTCCGGTGTGAATCCGCATATGTCTTTCTAAATTTGGTTTGGTGATCGTTCTATATCCGCAAATATCGCATTCGAATTGGCGTGAATTACATATTCGTTCATGGTCGATCTTAACTGATTCTTGTTCAAATCCTTGATTACATTTTGAACAACGAAATTGGCCATGCGTTTTCTTATGACGAACCAAATTATGTTTATGTGCAAAGAACTTCGAACAAACATCACACTTGAATGGTTTTTCTCCAGTGTGAATTCGCAAATGTCTTGTGAGTTTAGACTTGTTACGTACCAAATGATTGCACACATGACATTTGTGTTTCTTTTTGTTTTTGGCCGCTTGATTCCTGGGAATAGATCGTTTGTTTGGTCTTTCAGAGCTTCCATTCCGTTTCTTTCCACTACTGACCTGTTGCGATGGTTGAACATCGATTGCGTCACCCATTTGCTCTTCGTTGTCATCATCATTATCGCCAGCTCTCTCATTTGATCGTTCACATGGCGTCGAGTCCTTTTCTTTGTCCGTCTCTTCTTCTTCACATTTGATTTCATCTTTTACTTCATCGAAGTCATAGTCAAAGTCAATCGGCCTATCGTAATTCGCACGATATCTTCCATCAACTCTTGGCCGTGGTATGTTCATGACATCGTCACCGTCATTGAGCTCTTCTTTAATCACCGGCTCTTGCTTGACTTCAACCTTTGTGCACTTTGATTTGCGCTTGCAGCGTCTACCAGAAACACCTTTGAATGGCTTCATTTCCTGTTGGATTCGGGAAAAAATATGAAAAATCAATAATGAGAACTGATTCAATCAAATGTAAACTATTCGTGCTTGACTGGTCTATGCAAAGGAAAAGTACACATGCACATAGCTTTTTCACTTGAAAGTTGGGTTATGTGTTACCAATTTTCGTGAGCATCTATTGATTTTCATGATTTTTCACTTTTTCGATCGAATCACAAAATTTTATACTCAAGAAGTGACATCCAATTGAATAAAAAAATGTTCAACACTCACGTTTGTCGTCGCCTTTTCTCTCTGGAAAATATTTCTTTCACGTATCTCTCAAGATGTCTGCTTCACTCTGTGGTCGACGGAACAATCTAGAACAACGTACAACGTAAACCACAGCATCGAAGCTGATTTTCACACGCTTGCAAGCGTGCTATTTGTGGTAGTGAGTTTCGTTAAGTTCTAAACGACGCAAAGTGACACTTCATCTCTATTGGTAGCTGTCAATTAAGCAAATTCAGAGCTCAATTCAAAATTGTCGGTTGAATTCATGCAAAATTTTCTTCTCTAAATTCCGATTTTTAATTTGTTTAAAGAAATGTTCTTAAATTGAACGTTTTGCGCTATGAAAGTAATAATCATCCTGCTATGGCATAAAAAATTCTTTGGTGGTTGGACGAATGATATTGAAATGGTGGAATTTTAAATTCTAGCCCTAACATCGTTTGTCATTTGTCCAAAGTAAATTAGCTTTAATGAATAATCATTAATCACTGAGTCACGACAACGAAATCGAACGAATGACCGGAAATTGAAAGCAATTCCAATGGAAACGACGAACATTTTGGTGCATGCATTCTGAATGATAGAAAATTTAGATGTCAAACCCATAACGGGCTGATTCGTTGTGCAGAACAAAACGATTCACGGTTCATGTTATTATAAGTCACAGGCTAACGATCTAGTTTACTGATATATTTTCTGAAGAATACTAAAGCTTCATTGTGAACTAGAACTGAACTAAGGCTGACAACATTGAATCCATTATGCGTTTACGAATTGAATTCATTGTGGCCCATGATATGTACCTTGTCGACACAACTGATATCGCATAGAAGCAATCTAAGTCACTCATTCATCTATTTATTGTTGTTGTCCCATCGATGCATTAGAAGCGCGTGTTTTTGTTCGGAATCGAAAATATCCGGAGTCTGAAATGTGATGTTTCTTGGAGTGTATCCAGGGAATTGAGCAAATGGACGAACAATTCGAAATTAGTTCAAATGGAGCATTTGAATAATGAGAATTATGAACGACATACCTTGAAGCTGGGACTTTGTAATAAAAATGTACAAATCCGATTCGAATGCAAAGTTGATTTTGTCAATCAAACACATTTCCCAACGCCATTTGTTTCGGTAGGCAATATATTATTTATTTGATTGGGTGATGAAATCTGCATAAATTAATTTATGCGTGCAATGATTTCATCACATGCTGCCTTAAGGCCAATCACATTTTTTAAAACTATAACATTTTTATTTTTAAAAATACTGCAGAAACATAATATAAATATGATTTTTATTATAATCTGGGATTTTCAATGTTTAGTAAATAGCTTTTTAGAAGTGTTTTAAAATCATCATTATCAGTATTATTACGTATAAAATCAGGTAACTTGTTCCAAAGACTAGGACCTCCAATAAATAAGGAAGTTTTGTGAAAGTTATTCTTAGGCATATTTACTATTAGTTCATAAGCAGATCTAGTATTATTTGTATTGATTTTAATTAAATTCTTCAAATAAGATGGGGCTTCATTTATTATGATTTTGTTCAACATATTAGCAATATGGAGTGTTCGCCGTTAGATAATTGCTGCAAAATAAACTAAGAAATCAAATTCTTTTCTCTTTTTTTTTATTCCCGTCCCAATATATTTCTGATCAAAATGGGAGCTTAAATCTTAAGAGATGGTTATAAAGTTGTATGTACGAAAACATTGAATGTTATTACAAATTCGAATGCATGCTCATTATTACGATTCAAATTCTTGGTGAGAAAGGCTTCTTAGTGTGTAACAAGCTGTTTATTTGTAGAAATCATGAAATATTGATGTCATAGTGAACTGATTTCCAGTCAATCTATGGAATGGATGATTTTTCACTTCTTCAAACGGTGAACTTCCTTCATGTGTCGATTGGCATGGCCTTTACTGGCAAAACTGGCTGCACACACTTTGCATTGAACCCGCTCTCCGGTATGATCTTTTCGCATGTGGTTCTTCAACATTTGTTTGTCTCGGCGATGCTCTTTGCACAAATGGCATTGATACTGACGGTAGCCACAGCTATCTTCATGAATCTCTTTTCCATCTTCGGTTACGTATCCTCCGAGGCACTTGGAGCATTGGAATGGGAACTGATCGCTGTGTGCTGAAGACAAATGTTGCTTCAGTTTCATTTGTTGGACGAATTGTTTGCTGCAAATTTCACATTCGATCGATCTTTTGGCTCCGTGTTTTGATTGCATGTGCTGCTTCAAATGACTCTTTTGAACAGTTTTGTAATGACATACACTACATGCGAAAAGACTTCGTTGGCAGCGCATTTCGTGTGTTTGCTTATCTTTCGAAGTGGCAAATCGTCGACCACATTCCGAACAAGCATTCGGCAGTTCATCTTTGTGAGTCATCGAATGAATTCGGAGATGAGGGTTTCTTGCAAACGACTTGAAACAAATTGAGCACTCGAACGGCTTTTCCTCGGTGTGAACCTGCATATGCTTAGTCAAATTTGATTTATTCATTGTTTGATGCCCGCATATATCGCATTCAAATTGTAGAGGATTGCATAGCGCTTCATGGTCGATCTTGGCTGATTCTTGTTCAAATCCTTGATTACATTTTGAACAACGAAATTGACCAAGCGTTCTCTTATGACGGTTCAGATTACCTTTATCCGAAAATGACTTCGAACAAATATCACACTGAAACGGCTTTTCTCCAGTGTGAGTTCGCAAGTGTACTTCGAGTTTGGATTTGAAATCCGCAACATGATTGCACATATGACATTTGTGCTTCTTTTGCTTTTTGGCCGCTTGATGCCTGGGAATCGTGGCTCATGGACATTTCTCCCCGGGCGAGCGGGCAAACGAGCGGGCGAGCGGGTAACCCGCTCGCGCATATACCGCACCCGTTTGCCGTCCGCCCGTTCTGATTTTATCAAGCGGTCACACAACGGACAACAGCGGGCGAGCGGGCGGGTACACGGTCAAGTAAACGGCAGATAATATATTTGGCACCGCTGCCGTTTGCCGCCCGCCCGTCTTGATTTGGCTCATGGTCATTACTCCCCCAGCGAGCGGGC